TTACTATAGAAAATTAATGCGGTAGGTTAATATGTTTCCCTTATTAAGTAAAATTTCATTCTTAGCTTTTTGTTAGTTTAACTTTTAGAAATGTTTAGAAAAGAAAGTAATAGAAGTAAAACTCATACAATTATATATACAACGTAAAAAGGTGATATATGTTTTACATTACAGAGATTTTTTATATTTTTTTGGTAGATATTTATAGAATTTTATTTAATTTCATTTACGTTTAACAATATATATTAATTATAATTTAGTTTTAGTTAACGGAAAAGTAAAAGCTTTTAATAATTTTTTAACATTTTGTATTTTGGTGGGGTTAAATTTAATTAGTATATGTAAGTTCAATTATGCTATAGTTTGTAACTAAGGAAAAACCATTACTTTGTAGTAATGTTTTATACACGTGTGTAATTTATTATACATGAATTTAAATAGATTTATATAATATAATCTGAATTGTCTAATTTAAGATTTTAATTTAAGTTTATATTGTTGTAAACTCCTATAATAAATACTATTTATAATAACTGTAATAATAAATTAATATTATTATTTGATTTAATATCTTTGTAGAAGTTGACTTTCATAATATTCATTTCATATATTTTTGTTAATAATAATTTAAATAATAATAAACGAGTTATTGTTTAAGAGAATGAATTTGAATTTTATTTACAAAACTCTTTTATAAATTTTAATTTTATTTTTCCAATTATATTTTTTATAAATAATAATTTTAATTTAATTTTAATATAATTTCCAATATTAAAAATTATATAAAAATTTTATAAAATAAAGTGACAGTTATTTATTTTTATCAATCATTCACAAACAAACTTTCACAAAATTTCCTTTAAATTCTTTCATCAATCATTTCAAATCTCTTAATTGCAACAGTAGAGTATCTTTTCATCCTCTAAAATTTATCAACTTCCAGTGAGAAGGAGATTGCCTCTCTTTATAATTGCTTCAAATATTAAATATGTTTTACAAGATTAAAAATTAATAAATAATTTATGTTAAGGAAAAGCAGAATAAGAACCAATTCTTTTATAATGTAATTTACTGGTTTTTTCTATCAACGTAAAGAAGATACGAACAATTCTTCAGTTTTTATTTTTTACCTGCTCAATTAACATATTTTTTAATTAATTTTTCTTTAATTTATGTCCTTTATTTCTTTCGTAATTTTTGTAAACGTGTCATCAAAAAGCAACATCAATAACACCAATTGTTTTTTCTGTTTGCCTACTCACCAATTAACTAGTTGTCGAAGTCAATTCTATTAAATACCTATTAGGGCAATTAACCAATTTGAAGATAAGTGAAGTCTATTATGCAGCAATTATAAATATCCCGTGTTCCAAAATTGGGGCCAATTACTTTTCTGGATTTGTGATATTAAGAACAATATAAGAAATTAAACAATCACAGTCAATTATACTATGTATTCAAGTTGAAGAACACGGTTATCTGTCAATCTCTGTTTCGTGTAAGCACTTTCTAAGTATTTGTAGATATTGAACTTGGTCATTTTAGCCTATAAAATTTATCTTTTGACGTATCTTTTGACAGTAATTGAAAAGCGAATGCTCACTTGTAGAATGAAGAATGACAATAGTTAAATAGCGAAAGCCGCTAGCTAAGATACAAGGTTGAAAATATTGTGTTCCCAAACACATGTTCCAGTCTCTCAAAGAATGGTGGAACCTAGCAGAGACTAAAATAGTGTTCTCAACTGGGAAAGGTACAGAGTTTCTCAACCAAAGTTCTCAACTAGAAAATGAGTCACAGGTATCATCATAAATCACTTACCCCAAATCAACTTTGATATCCATTTGTTCCCAACTGAATCATTCTTTCTGTTGAGTCCAGATCTTCACAGTTTTGTCATTGCCGAGTGCACCAGAAGCAATCATGTTCTCTGTCGGGTGACATGACACAGAAACAACTGCATCAGAATGGCCTTCTAATTTCTGTACTATTTTCCTTGACTGAAGTTCCCACAAGTATATAGAGTTATCTTCTGATCCGCCAACAACATACTTTCCATTTGTTATAGAAAAAGTTGATGAAATGCAGTATTTTGAATTAACGTGACCCGTGTAAGTCTTCAGAAACTTCCCAGTTGAATAGTTCCAAAGCCTCTGCAGGAAAAGAAAAATTCCGATGTAAGAATGACCCAAACATTGAATGGTGAAGCAAGAAAACAACCAGTAGCCAAATAAGCTACCAAATGAAGTGAATAATAACATGAAAAAACTAATCAAATTAGTCATTTGCTATTACATGCAATAGTACCTTACAAACTAAAGCTCATCAGAGAAAAAAAATAAACCCGTTCTAGTTCATGAAATTGTAAGTGTTGGTCGTAGTTTCTAATATAACAAAATCCTCCTAATTAGTCAGTCATAGAAAATGTCGTTCACTTTTTAGTGAAAAAAAATAATACTAGAATAATATTTACGGAGTGGAAACTAAAATGAGAATTTTGTAAAGTCGAAATGGACAAAAATTGAGGTTTAGTGCATGTTTGGTTTAATGTTTGCAAATGTAAAATGAACTTCATTGTGGAAACTTAAGTTTTAAAAGCAACCTTGTGTTGCTTTCATTTGAAACTTGCTCTGAAGCTACACTGAACATGAACATGAACATGAACATGAAAACGCAGTTCACCCTTGAACACCAATTTCGCTGGCTTGTTTTTCTCTTCATATTTATAAAGCCAGAGATCCAAAAATCTAAGTACAGTTTTTCAAAAAGAAAAATCCAATGGAGCTGATGAGTACAATCCATATTCAGAGAATCGCATAATCCTGATTCCTTGAATCCATAATAATATACAATAAGCCTGCCATTTTCCACGGGTTCAGAAGGACAAAACAGAAGTGTTATGACACTAGACAATAGTAACTTGGTTCAAGTCAAGACCAAAGCGTAAGTAACAACAGAACCCGGAAAGACTGAGCTAAGAACTCGAAATTGAATTTTCAATGGAAAAGCAATGCACCTTCTCAGTTTCAATAGTTGCAGAGACACATTCGTCACGCAAGCAAAACACACCAAACCAGAAACTAACGTATGCCGTGTTTCTATAAATTTCTGAAAAAGTGCGTATAGGAGAAGAAAACGCAAAACTAAAACGAATTAAGATACTTGCATAAGCTAAAATTATCCTTCCAAAGAACCAGCTTTTTTACTAATAAATTAGCATGCTTGTGGAAAAATGTTCCCTAAATTTATCCAAACCTGGGCTAATGTTGAAATGAATTAAGAGAGGGTAACGAGGAATTACGAGAGTGTTGTCGAGGGTGCCAACGAGGATGAACTTGGCGTTGGGGGAAAACTTGACAAAGGAGACGGGAGGGTTCTCGTCGTCGATAAGGGTCTTGACGCAGTGGCCAGTGGAGGCGTCCCAGATTCGGCAGAGGCCGTCGTAGCTGCTGGAGACGATGAGGGTGCCGTCGCGGTTGAAGTCCACGGCGGTGACGGGGTCGGAGTGGGCGGGGAGGACCTTGAGGCACTTGCCGGACTTCACATCCCAAACCCTAACGGTCTCGTCGAAGGAGCCGGAGACGATGACGTTAGACTGAGGGTTGAAATTGACGCAGAAGACAAAGTTAGTGTGGCCCTGCAGCGTCTTTATAAGGGACCCCGTCGGCACGTCCCAGAGGCGGAGGGTCTTGTCGTCGGAGGCGGAGACGAGGAAGCGGGAGTCGGAGGAGAAGGCGAGGTCCGACACGCCCTGCTCGTGCCCCGAGTACTCCTGCATCGGGGAGAGAGAGAGGCTGTCGGAGTCGGAGTCGGAGTTCGTGAAGCCGTAGGTTCGAAGAGTCTTGTCGGCGGAGGAGGAGGCGAGGAGGCGGCCATTGGAGGAGAATTTGACGGCGGAGATGGCGCGTTTGTGGCCAGTTAGGGTTTGGGAAAGAGTGTAGGGTTTGAAGGAATCTGAATCCGACGATGCTTTCGGTTCCGTCGACATTTCTTTTCACTATTAAATTTACCTTTCTCTTGGCACTCTTCTGTCACCTTAGAACTGAAGAAAAAACCAGAAGAGAACAACGTAGTAGAAACAAACACTCTCTGCCTAACGCTTTATTTTTCTCAATTTTTTTATACACTTATATAAATCTCTCTCTATTCTCAATAACTCTCGTGTTTATAAAATTTCAATTTTACCACACAAATTTGTTTATATTTTGGAAAATATTTTTCACATTAAATGTATTGATTATTCCTTTTTCAAGATGTTTTAGTCATTAGAAAAAGTTAATTTTTTATTTATAATTATATATTTTTATTTAATGTCATCAAATGTGAATTTGGAGATAGATGACAAGATAGTTTGACCTCATTAATATGATATTTTTTACTGTTTAAAGGGAAAAAAATTTAGTAGGAGAATTTAAAATTTTGATGATTATAGTGAATATAAATAATAATGAATAAAGTATTTTAATTGTATTTATATGATCAAAATATAGATAATGAGTTTATGATTCTATTAAAATAAGTATATATTAGTAGTAATTAATAATAACAAATTATCGATTTATGATATGTGATAATCCACCCCTACTTTTAAGAATATTTATTAGACAGGACAAAAACAATAATTTTATTATTTTAAAAATTGTTTTTTAAAATTTAAATAACTATTCATAATAAAAAAATTATTTATATAATATTACTTATAATATTATTTATTTTATCAATTACAATTTATTTTATCTATAACTATATTTATAATTGTATACACTATTTTGTTTTTTAATTATTACTTTTAAAATTTAAATAATTTATAAATATTTAAATAATACGTTTGTGTTTGTGTTGTATTTGAAAAAAAAAATTGAAGTGTTAAATAGTATAAAAAGTTATTAACCGTGAGAGTGTTATATTTTAAGAAGCTAAAGTAATTCGTAATTATATTAGAATAGTTTTTATTATTTTTTCTATTTAAATGAGCTAAATAAAAAGGAAATGATAATTTTTTAACAGCTGTTTAGAGTGAATTATTCTGGTGCTGGTTCAGTTTGTAGGGTTGACGGCGGTGAAAGACACCAAGTCCGAACTCTTGCGGCGGAAGCGGTGGATCTACCTCCATTCTCATCCCATGAACACCATTCTCCGCCACCGCCTCAGGCTAAGTCCGACACCTATTCTCTATTGCTTCCCCAAATTCCTTTTTTCCCAACCCTTTCACTTTTTCTCAACAACCACTTCTGAGCCCTGCGCCTTCACCTTATCCTATCTCAGCAACACCTGCGGCTTCTCGCACGACGTCGCACTGAAACTATCTAAACGACTTCGTTTCGAAACCGCAGAAAAACCCGATTCCGTCTTCTCTTTCTTCCGAACCCACGGTTTCTCCACCTCCCAGATCTGCCGCATCTTCTACCAAGCCCCAGAGCTCTTGGTATGCGACCCCACCAAAAGGCTTCTCCCCAAATTCCAATTCTTTGCCTCTAAAGGCGCTTCGCCCTCCGACACCATTCTCATCGTCTCCAAGACCGCCCGTGTCCTTCGTTACGGTCTCAACAGCCATATCATTCCCATCTTTGAACTGATCCGAACGTTCTTGCCCTCCGACCTAAAAGCCCTCGCTGTTTTCATCGCCTGTCCCAATTTCATCGGAGACGGTCGTGTTGCCTCCAACGTTCAGTTGTTGCTCGACACCGGAGTAACGCACACCGGAATTCGCTACTTGCTCTGCTCTCGGCCTTCGGTTCTGTGCTCCGACCTGAGACCCGCTATTGAGGAAGTGAAGTTGTTGGGGTTTGAGCCTTTGAAGCTGAGCTTCACTCTGGCCATTCTGGCTAAAAGGGCTGTTTCGAAGCCTCTTTGGGATGCCAAAGTCGACGTCTTGAAGAAATGGGGTTGGTCCGAGGATGATATTTGTGTTGCTTTTAGGAACCAGCCTAATATTATGCTGCGTTCCAAGGAAAAACTTAATGCAGTGATGGGGTTTTGGGTTGGTAAGCTTGGTTGGGATCACTCCGTGCTTATTTCGTCCCCAACGTTGTTTTCGTACAGTTTGGAGAAAAGGGTTGCACCGAGGGCTTTGGTTGTGCAGTATCTTCTCTCCAAAGGATTGGTGAAGAAAAGTGCTAGCTTGGCCACACCTTTTGTTTTGTCTGATGAACGGTTTCTGCAAAAGTACGTGAAACGTTTCGAGGAGAAAACGCCCAGGTTACTAGAGTTATATCAAGCGGCACAGGGAACATGCTAGCATCTGGTTGTTGACATTTAACTCATGGATACATACGGACTTTGGTGTAGTTCATCTCTAACCAGTATGTCTCATTAGACTTTTGTGACGTTTTTGTCTTTGTAGTAAGTACATTTTTAAATTAAGTTACAGTTGTGATTTATGGCAGTAGTCTAATATTTTATAACTGGTTGATCAGGAAAGAAAGTTGCCTTTGTAGAAAAGCTTTGCAAGTAATATTGATATTGATTCTCATTGTCCCTTCTTTTTAGTTTGTTTCATTTAACAGTACTCTTCAATGGTGGGTATCTTCATGAATTGTGGGATTGGAATGCGGCTTGAATTTCTAGCAATTTTCTTTTCCAGTTGAGTGCGAGACCAAGAGGCTGTATAATAAAACTTCTCTCCTATTCAAATTCAGCTAGAGTAGAACTCCTGCAATGTCATAAATGCTTTTATGGCCTAGGTAATTCTGGGTGATTGAATGGTTTGTCTAAGATTTTGCATGCAAATTTTTTAGTAATTCTTTTATCTTGTAAACTGTCTCCCCGTAAATTGGAATCTTCTAATCATTATTCTCTAACATTAACTCATAACAGTGTGGTCACAAGATTAGCCTTTTTCCTCTTTACCATCATCATTTGACCTGCAACAACTTTGTTGTTTGCTACATTATTCATTACAACTTGAACAACATTGTCTTCCCCCGCATCTTTAAAAATGATATCCATTATCTCAATTCAGAAATGATATCTATTATCTCAAACTTTTTCAGTTGTTATGGTTATTGCAGATGAATCTATATAATCTCATGACAGGAGGGAGGTTTGAATCCAAGACTATGCTATGAAACCAAATCAAACATAGTGTTAAATTTCTCGCTCTTTGCCACGTCAAAGGGTATTGCTTGACATGCTTCCTCTCTCGCACCTTTCTTAAACACGGTATTGATGGTTTCTTGTGTTAAGTATTCTTTCCTTAAAGATGTTTCTAGTACTGTCACTAGCTTCTGCACTTTCTTCTTTCTTATAATGTTTTAGCAAATTTTGTTACAAACCAACAACAGTTGCGCACATTTTCCTTCTGCATTTCATCATTAACACTGTTGCAAGCTTCCACATCCTTTCAAGTACCAACCAAGTCCTTGTGGTATACCTTCTGCCAATATTTGTATTGAAGTTTTCTAGTATCCCGCCAACTTTTCAGCTATATCACTTCTTTTTCTTGGACCATTTTTGGGAGCCACAAGTGCAAAGGAGTTTGGAAATGGATTTGAAAGTCATTTGGTAATCGATGAAGGAGAAGGAATGAAATCAAAATGAGTCTAAAGTGATTTTAAGCAGCCAAAAGGACAGCAGAATTCTGTATCTTTTGGCAGGGGGGCAACAACAATGTTAGTGACGTTTTTTGGGCCAAATTTTAGACAAAAGGGGTACGTGGAGGGTTACGTGGAAGTAATTGGGCTTTGAGAGGATAAAAAATGGGCCTAAACTTCTCGTTTTAAAACCCTAGTCACGTGACCCGACTTACCAAAATTGATAATGCTATTTTTTGACTTACTTAATCTCATCAATTATTACTTATTAAGTATGGACTTGCACTAGTTTAACTGTCATATTTCAGTTTTCAGTTTGAAACTGTTTTTGTTATTACATTACTTATGGAGAATAAATTTAAAAGTCTAAAAGGAAATAAATAATTTTGGTATTAAAAGATATTGATTGAATTTATACAGTCATATTATCAACATTTTTAATGTTAATGCAATCTGTATTTAAAATAGTTCTGTAAATATATTGTTTATGAAACACATTTTGTAATTAAACATGAAAAATAATCTTACTAATTAAAAATAATCATCTAAGTGAAAACCACACTCAGGCAAACCAAAATGACCAGTGGTATCTTTGGTAATTTTCTCAGAATTCTAGATAATTGGAAAAAATATTAAAAGTATTTTTAATACTATAGTCAGTATTTCTTGTGAAAATAAAGTTTTTATATAATATTTAAAATTCTGTTTTTCCAAAAAGAAGATTCTGTTAATTTAGTAAAGTTACTAGTATCTTGATATATTGTTTTTGGGATTTGACCTAGAAAATGTAAGAATTTTCAAAATTTGTTTATATTTTTTAAATCAATGAATATTCTGTAAATAAGAATTGATGAAAAACAAGGTAATTTAAAGATAAATTAAGAGATTTTTCATAACAAATATTTTAATTTTTCATATTAATCCCGATAGATGGAAGGAAGAAATCTTCTTATATGAAAAAGTTATATTTCAAACCTTTTGCTATTTTTATAATTATTCCCATTTTTATTTTTGAATGCTACATATTGATATTGATGTTTACTATATTCTTCTAACAAAAACAGCTTTAACATAGTATATGACGATATGAGAGTAAAATTGTTAAAATTGATAATTTGGTTCGATCTGGTCCAGTTTGACCTAATCCGACTTATCACAGGTTGATTATTTAGTGAGTCAACTCAATTCGACTTACTTATTACTAAGTTGAAAAAATTTTGAACTAATCCAACCCACCACGGATTGGTAGATTAAACAAATTGATTCACCGGCTCACTTAATTATAATTTTTTTTAAATAAAAAAATTATAATTTTTTTAATTCAAATATAAATAAATTTGACTCTAACTCCAAAGACAATTCAAAATAAAAAAATATCATGTAATATAATCTAAACAAAAAATAAGTAAAAAAAGCGAACAAATAAATATTTAGTATTGATAATTTTTGTATCACTTGTCTAAATTAAAGTGTTAAATAAATAAATTTATAATATTTCTTTCTCTTTTAATATCTTTTTCTTTTATCTCATCTACAGTATAATAAAAAGAATATTAACTAATAATATTAAAATATAAAATAATAAATAATTAAATTAAATTAATAAATAAATAAAGTCAACTTGACTAATATTGAAATATAAAATAATAAATAATTAAATTAAATTAATAAATAAATAAAGCCAAATCGACTCAAGTTTAACTTAAATAAACCAAATTTTAAGTTAGTTAATTTAAAACTAATCCCATAAAAAATATATATATATTTTTTTCAAATCCAAATGAAATCCGTGTTGCCGAATTAACTCGGAGGTTACTACTTTTAACATGACTATCTGAGAGCATTCTGGTGATTTTAGCGAATTCAAATTCCACATTCTTCATCAATTGGGCTTTTCCCCTCTGAAATCAAAACCCTCGTTCGGTTCTCTACTTTTCAATTGTGTTACATATTCGAATTTAGGGTTTCTTTTTACATGGATGCTGTTGTTAGAATTCCAATCTACATTTGATAGCTTCATCATTGTTGTTTGAATAGGAATCCCATGTTCAAAATTTACCGCCGCACAACCCTTGGTTGTGCCAAGTTTTTCGAATTCACAACCCTAAAATGGAACCCTCTTTTCCAATTCTGCAGGGCCACCTCCACCTCCAATTCATCCTCTTTCGTGGTCTCGTACCTCGTCAACAACTGTGCCTTCTCCCAAAAAACCGCTCTCAAAGCTTCCCGCAATCTTCATTTCTCGAAACCCCAAAAGCCTGATTCTGTTCTCTCCTTCTTCCGAAACCACGCCTTCTCCAACTCTCATATATCTCATATCCTCCAAAGAGTGCCCCAGTTACTTTCATGCAACACCCAAAAGGTGCTGTTGCCAAAGTTTGAATTTTTGCGTTCAAAGGGTGCTTCATCCCTTGACATTATTCACGCCGTTACCGCCTGCCCTCATTTTCTCCGACGAAGCTTGGAGAATCGTATAATCCCAAGATATGAATTTATTAGAGGGCTCCTTCAACCCTTTATTACGGACAAACAAATCATTGATTTTCTGATTCACAATCCTGCTTTACTTTATGAAAGCCGTGGGGTAGCTAACCTCGAATTGTTGCTTGATAGTGGAGTTCCCGGTTCAAAAATTGTTAAATTGCCCCAGAGATGGCGTCGTCTACTCTACTTTGGCGACATGTCAAAGACAGTTCAGGAGTTGAAGCAAATGGGCTTCGATGCTTCGCTTTCAACATTCTGCATAGCGTTGGTTGCCAAAATTATCCTAAACGAAAGCAAATGGGCCGAGAAGATTGACACTTATAAGAGGTGGGGTTGGTCCGAAGAACAAGTTCTTCTAGCATTTAGGAGGCAGCCTTATTGTATGCTGTCATCCTGTGATAAAATTAATGCCGTGATGAGTTATTGGGTGGAGCAGGCAGGCTTCAATTCTGTGGACCTTGTCAAATCTCCTGGAATTTTCTTACTTAGTCTCCGAAAAAGGATTGCTCCGAGGGCTTGTGTCTTGCAGTTTCTTGTCTCAAAAGGTCTGCTACGGAAGGATGCAAGCTTAACGACACCATTTGTTCTGACTGAGAAGTTGTTCCTGGAAAACTATGTGAAACGTTTTAGGGAAGATTCTTCTCATCTGTTAAAGCTGTACACAGAACATGAGTCTTGGAAATGATAGGGACAAGACCTTGTGTGAACTTGTCTTCAGGTTTGTTAGTTCTTAGAGATCCTCCTTGCAAACATTTATGTTTTTCAGGAACATGTTTCATATGCAGATGATTTTGTCAGATCAGCTACAAATTTTTGAGTTGTTTTATGAAAGATTCTTGTTGGGTAGAAATTGTAAAGTAAAATTTGTCTAAAGAAAGGGACTTCTCGTCTTAGGCATATTGCAGTGGCTTCAGTTATCTGGGATCTTCTATCTACGAGTTTGATTGCGCCAGCTTAGCTATCAGTAGTTGTTTTAGCAAAAGTTTGTGGAATAACTTATGAGTAAATAGGATGGTAAGGTTGTATCTGGAACCGAGAGGGTGCTAGCATCTTGTAGTTGGTTAAATGTTGAACGTAGATTTTGTTGTCAACTGCTGTATTTCTTCATCTCATTCTTGTATGTGTTATACTCCTGTCTAAATCTGGATTTCTACCAGTCTGATTGTGTTCATACAACAATCAAACAGTAAAACAAGGACAAGAGTGAAAAAAAAAGAAGAAACTGTATTTTTGAAGGTTCTATACGCAGCGGGACGTCTATTTCATACCAAGAGCTTCGCATGTTTGTGTGTATAGAACTAGGAATACCAGAAATTGTCAGGACAATTGAGACAAACCACTGTCTACAAGAATACAACGAGTAGACAGAATATTCAAGCTCAACATTTCTAGATGTACTTTAGAAGATGGTCTTTTGCGCTTTTCATAAGACGATCACAATTTTAGATAAAATATCACAATTCTCTACTTTGATTCCAAATCATGTAATAATTTTTGCAACTATATCCTTAAACGAAAAATTAATCTATTTTAACGAATCTCGATTTGGTAGAGACTTTGTAAACATATTTGTAGGTTTATTCTCTGAAGCTATCTTCATAATCCTAACCTTTCTAGATTTAATAACATCTTTAACCAAGTGTAGTCTGAAATTAATATGATTAGTTCTTTCATGCTATATACGATAAATAGTTAGATGTGTCATTCTGGGAAACTTTTTAGTGTTATACTTGCTGGTCATGTTTTTGAACCTTATCCTTCTTGACATTCTTTTTCTTGTAGTATTGACAATATCAATTGTTGGATTTGCACAACAATCATAAGGAAAGTGTCTTTACCTTTTCATATCTACTGCAAAGAACTGTCTTTCCTTTTCATATCTACTGATGTTTTTTACCTTTTAAATTCTGTTTTGAAAGTGTTGAAGTTTTAGAAATCTAAGATGTACTTAGTATTCTTTTCCTTCTGTACACTTAATTAAATTAAAGCGAATTATGTGAATTGCATGTTTGCCGTCACTTGTTTTAGTTTCTGTTGCGAACTTCTTGTTATTAACACTGTTGTGTTTATGCAAATATTGCAGTTTTGGTTTTATATTCTTGCAACATAAAAAACATATATTTCCAAACAAAATGATTTTTCTGAATACGTATGGGTTTGAAATTACATTGAACTTTATAAAATCATATAATTAGATACCACTTAATATAATTTCAGATAAATTTTCTTATATTTTGTAATTGGTAACATTGTTGATAATAAATTGCCTTTGTAATAAAACTTTTATCACTTTAGAATAATTTGATCAGGTTCATTCATATCTTATAAGATCAATCACTTCAAAATAACATATTATTTGTTCATTCATATCTTACAAGATCAATCACTTCAAAATAACATATTATTTGTTTCGGTTTATGGAGTTGAGGTTATATCTATTTTTCCAAAGGTTCTCCAATCTCTAAGTTCAAGTTAAGGTTTTGAGTTGGGTGTTACTTGTAGAAAACACTTAGTGCTTGTTGATAATATTAGCAATAAAAATAACTAACTACCTGAATATTAAACATGTATTTATAGATTTTAGGATGAGAAATATAACTAACTACCTGAATATCAAACATGTATTTATAGATATTAGGATGAGAAATATAACTAATTACCTGAATATCATATTTATAGATTTTAGAATAAACTTCTTATTAGTATCGGTCTAATTATAGTCCAAACAATTATGATTTAGCTTAAGATTAATGTAATTATTCTTAGTGTTAATTCTATTTATAATTCGACCGATCAGTTTACCGACCAATTCATGTAAAATCATAAGCTTGTTGTCAGGTTAGGTAATGGATAAGTCATACTATACATCATTAAAATATTCTCTTAAAACATATATATTATCCTCTGTGTAAATTAAAATTTACACGTTGAATGAGCATGTTTTTAAAAACTTAAACAAAAGTGTTTTAGGAAATTTTCTTCAGTGAAAACATATTTAGCAAACTTTATTAAACTCTTATCTCCTTTCGTTTATTCTTTTGATTTTTATTTATAAATTAAATTTCTGTATTTTATTAAGAGAAAGGATCAATGGTTAAAAATAATTTATATCTGTAAGAGGTATATGAGTACTTCACTGTTACTACAAGCAGTCAGAAAACGTTGTGGTGCATAAAACGAAGTTGCCTCTAACAAGATTCCAACAGACAAAACTAACTACAAAATCTGTTCCAATGACTTGAAATGAAAATGTCATCGACAATGTCTATATTCCGAGAATATTTATAATGTCACATACGGTACAGTTCACTATTTTTCAACTCATTCATTTTGTCTCTCACAAAATTTATATAATAATTTATAGGTTCATACTTTGAAACATACGCTTAAAGTTTTCAACCGTGGTGTTTGTTTGTTGTGAACCCATGATTTCTAATTCTCTTAAAATAATGTTTTGAATGAGTATCATGTCAATTAAAAAAAGTAGTTCCTCGTACTGTGGATGTTTCAAACTAATAAAACTATATTAAGCACAAGCTTAGATTACAAGTGTCAAAATAAACTAACACCTTTCATCTTAGTTATTCCACTTCACGTTGTCCAAAGAAAAGTAAACCATTTAGGAAAGTTAGATAAAAAAAAACAGAAAAAACCACAATGCAAAAGTTCAACTACACCACACCAATTGACAATCACAAATCTAAAGAATAAACAAATAAAACCAAAAAATTTCAAATAATTCATAATAAAAATGGGAAAAATAGATTTCTTTTTACAAAGTTTACTATATAGCTTGAATGAGCGGATCCATGTTAGTTTTCAACCAAAAAGTTAAATGAGTTGGATTAAAAAAACTCGAAAATTAAAGGATTATCTTTTAGGATAATGATACTTTGAAAATATTTTTTTGACAATATTTTAACATCATCTACATGTCATTTTGTGATTGGTCCAAAATTACTTCACTATCAATAATAATAATCATAAACACTAACATAGACCAATCACAGAATGACACGTAGATGATGTTAAAATGTTGTCAAAGTATCATTATCTTATCTTTTATAACTTGTTGATTAGGTAAAAAAAAAACAATTTTGATAATGTAAATGTTATATGTAATATAACCTTTTATTATTTTTTTCACACTTTAATAATTTGATTATTATAAAATAAGTTTAAGTTTAAATCAATTTTCTCATTTGTATATTCAAAATTGATTTTGATTATAGATTTCCAATATATTTTTTCACGTCAAACCATGTATATATATAAACATAAAATAATACGATAAGAAATAACAAATAAAATAATAGATTTAACAATTTTATAGAATAAGTTATGATAAATATAAACTTAGTTTATCTTCGCAAGTTATATACTTAAAATTACCTTTCTCTCTAACTAATATAAGATCTCTTAACATTTGCTTCACAATGATTTAAAATTTTTGGAGCAAAATTTTGGAATTATCTAGTCATGTAACTTTATTTACATCTCTTAAGAAAAAAAAATATTAAATATGTATCAGAAAAAGAGAAAGAAAGAAAAAAAAAATAACATCAGTTATATATATAATTAAAATTATAATTCATATCTTTCTTTTATCTAACAAACAAAGACTTAGGGTATTGCCTCGTAATTATAAAAAAAAAAGGGAAAACTAATATTTTTGAAGTTGTTTTTTTAGTATGACTACTGTAGAGTATATATATGGCTGTTTAATGGATCAAAGGAGTGGTTGCTGGCACCTATAGCTTCCAAGTAAAACAATGGCTTTTGCCTTTTGGGAATCCTCCATTCATAGAACTTAAATCATACTTAATTCCAACAAAAGAAATTTATATTTACATGTACATATTTCCCTTAATTAATTTATTAAACCAAATGATAACACATAGCTATATGCTACCTACCATATGATAGAGTCCTCTTTCTATACAAAACCAAAAATTATAAATAAGAAAAAAAAATCACTGCATTTTTCTTTGAAACTCCTTTCAGCATCGAATTAAAACTATTTTATTTTACTCATTACATTATGTTAAATTACATTTGTAAATGTTCTTTAATTCTTCATTTGGTGTTTTAGTCATCTTCTTTTTTCACTGATATTGTAATTAATTAAAATAAATTTGATGGTGTCTTAAATGAACATGTTTAACCTAGAGCGTTATGAGATCAAAATAAAAGAAATAATAAAACTACATTAAATAATTAAAAAACATTATATGTACTTTAAAGTTTATCTAAATTATAGCCTTTTCCTAATATTTCGTGTTAAGTTAATAACAGTAATATATAGATAAATTTTTTTAAAAAAATTAAGTTTTTGTTATCAAAATTTTAAAAAAAATCAAATGATTATATTAAGTTATATTTTAAAAGAATAATGCCTGTCCATACATCAATTATCACAAAAAGAACGATACAGTCACTTATATATATTTACATGTATTTAAAATTAAATGTGATTTTGACAATGTAGGGGAAATGATAGACAAGAAGCATGATCCTTGTCTTTAGTTCCTAATCCAGGGAAAAAATTCATTGTATTCTTCTTAATTAATTAAGGGTATGCTTTGGAAAAAACAATATTCATAAACACAGGAAAAATCATTTATAAATTGAAATTAAAAATTTCGAGAAAGTATTTTTTGCACACATTAACTTATAAATAACCAATTTTAATTTATAAAAAAGTTTCATTTTTTTTTTCTTTTTATTTCTCTACTAAAAAATATCATTCCCTTTATATATAACGTTGAAGGCTTAAAATACATCAACAAAAAGCCTAAAATAAAAGTAGAAAGTATCATCGTTGGGAGAGAATACATATGAATAAACCATCTTATTATTTTGTATCTTGTTGAATAAATTTAAACTCAAACAAGTTTCTTGTTTTACTTTCTATTGGGATACCATTTTAAAATGAGATTAATTTAATAATTAGTTGACTCATCATAATGTTCCCTTTGTCTTAAGTATTATAGTGGAGGCAGGCAAAAAAAAATTATTGCATGGGTGATTAAATTAATATAATAGACAAAAAGGCATTTGTAAGTGTAGGTTTGTCACCTAGGACTTTAGGAATTGGCTAATTAATGTTGTTTATTTTATTCTCAATAGTTAATATTATTCCATTTGTTGTCTTAGAGATTATGAGTGCAATGGGTATATCATCCATTGATGTGATTGGATTAGTGAGTTAACTATTTTAACCTAATATCATAATAATAATTAATTAGTTGGTGGGTTGACTAACCCAAAATAACAATGACAAAAGGATAAAAATAAAAAAGTACACATTTGATTAAATATTTCAAACAAAATCTAAATACAATAATAAAAACTTCACAAATATATTATTAATTTATCACCCACAAAAAAATAGTACCCTTCTGCTTTTAAGGTCAAAATAATAAATTCATTTCTTAGACCACTTTATAAACAAATAAAATATCTTT